TGAGGCAGAGACGGAGAAAGAGGGGAATTTATCTGTTTTAGGGACACAAACAATAAACACTTTACCGTATATTTGAAAATTAAGACCTGCATATAATGCTCCGGGACTGTACCAGTGATGTTATGGTTGCTGTATCTTCTAATAATGAGAGTATTGGTGTATTGAGCATAGTTATGGCGTTGACCGCGTTTAAATTAAATTGCTATTGCAAATAAAATCATTGGAACATGTTAAGAGCTGCACCTCGTACTTGTACTTAGCACAAACTGGGAGCTAGCCCGACTGGTGGCCCAAACGCCAGTACGAAAGGGCAAGAAAAGTCAATCGGTCAGGAGGAGAAGTGTATTCACGCAGTACAAGTCAAGGCAAGAAAGCGCAAGTTACATTTACAAAAAGGCTGCGGGCTATTTAATCAATCCATCCCATGAGCAGGCTTCAGCGACAGGGAGCCAATCAGCTATGACGAAAAATCGATAGCCACGGCGCGCTCTTATGGCAGCGGCGTGGAGTTGCACTCGGAGGCCTTTCTGTACGATGAGTAATCGTGAGAATCAGCGCATTCCCAATAGAAAATCTACTTAGTGCGAAGTTGGGAAATGAGAGAGAGAATCCATTGACTTTAATTCTATAAACTCAAAGTTATCTCAGTTTTCCGCTGCACTACATAGGTTTTGACATATTCCTGTAGCGCCGCCTGACTCCTATTACTCGTGTTTGTCTAGTTTCCCGGCCAGTTTAGCGCACTTATAGAAGTAAATAATGGGTTTCTATATTGAAATAGAAGCGGCATTCGTCGTTTACACTTGTTGATATTATTTATTTATGTGATGACAATGCTTTTTTTCGTAGGTTGTCCTCTTCTCTGCTTCCTGAGGTTACAAATTATGCTTATCCCACTTTTTCTTCAAATTAGATTTCCATTTCCCAAAAGGTTTGCGTCCTTGTGCACACTGTTAAGCAAATGTGTGGAGAAGCCTACTAGTTAATAATGGGCTCCGTGCATGTTGGATTATTATTCCCAAGACAACTTCCTTTTCGCCTTTGCGTGCGACGAGGCAAAATAGTTTGTGGTCGCAAAAATTCCCATCACAGAAGTCCGAAGAGGAATTGGCAAGCA